AAACTGTTAATGTTTCCAGTAAGACATGTCAATAAAGCTGAAAGCAGGGCATATCAGGAAGGCCAGTGGTTGTTTATTATATGTCAGAGACGATTATTTATTCAGAATAATCACCATGTAACTCGTAGAACTGAAGTAATGGCAAATATAATGCATGAAATAAAACATTAAATACTGTATGTGCTAGGCTTCCTCCGCTCAGGAGTTAATTAAAACTAGTTAACTAAAACTAAAACCATAAAAAAAACATTAGTTGAAATAAATTAACTGAAATTAAATTTAATTAATTAACTGAAATTAAAATAAAATATAAAAAAGTACACTTATTTTATTTAGGCTAGTTGCAAAGGCATTAAAATGAATTTCAAACAACATATTTAAACGGTATAGACATATTTAAAACTAAAAGAAAATTACAAAAACACACACAAAATTGACTAAAACTTTAAGAAAATATAAAACCTAATTCAAATATTAATAAAAACTTAATAGCATCTCAGATGGTTAATATAGGAGGTTTGCAGTTATAAAGGTTTTAACATAAACAGCTGTATTTAAAAGTTTTATGAAATTCAAATGACACTGTAATTTTCTGTCTCTCGTTTGATCGTAAGTTGATGTGTGAACTACGACCCAGAATAAACAAATAATAATAACAACATTAATAAAGCTGTTCTTTTAAATGTTCTATTGCTGAAAGTTCTTAGAAAGTTGAGTTATTCTTCAAAGAGTTTCAGGAAAAATGTATTGCGGTTTCCATAAACATGTTAAGCAACATAATTGCGTTCAACACTGATAATAATAAGATTCCTGTGAGCATATTAACAATAAAAAAGAGATTGAATGCAATTATGTCACCATTCGTTTAACAGGAATCATGCCATACAATTACAAAGAGCACAACAACAGGGTGCTGATGACAGCTTCACATGCCATTCTTATGAGAACCAACCAAAGCACGCAGATAAACAAGTAAATTCGTCAGAAGAACCGGGCGGGGTTTGGAATTAAGTTCAGTAAGTCCACGTCAGCTGATAGAAGGTGTTGGAATGTAAAGGTCACTGACTAATTTCAACAAGACCCGTCTAGATTACGAAATGTAAAATGCAAAAGTTAAACATCACTGTCGATGCATTCCCAGTAGAAGAGAATATAAATGAATAGAATAGAATCTTAATTATACGCCTGGGGCCAGCGGGAATTATTGGACTGTATGTGTGGCAGTGAAACACAAAGTATAATTATACTTATAATTATAGATTATCCAGTGACCAGAAACAGTACACAATACACAATATCAAACCAATAAAACAAATACATACTGATTAAAAATGTGATCTGGGTATATGGAACCAAAAAAAAAAAACGTTTGATTGAATTAAAGTTTTAATACACATACACTACACTGTTCAAAAGTCATGCTCACCATGCTTGCATTTATTTGATAAAAAATACAGTAAAACAATAACATTCCGAATATATTATTATTATTATTTTCTTTTTTGAATATATTTTAAAATGTAATTTAGTCCTGTGATGCAAAGCTGAATTTTCAGCATCAAATCAGCATATTAGAACGATTTGTGAAGGATCATGTGACACTCTAATATGCTGATTTGATGCTGAAAATTCAGCTTTGCATCACAGGACTAAATTACATTTTAAAATATATTCAAAAAAGAAAATAATAATAATAATATATTCGGAATGTTATTGTTTTACTGTATTTTTTATCAAATAAATGCAAGCATGGTGAGCATGACTTTTGAACAGTGTAGTGTATGTGTATTAAAACTTTAATTCAATCAAACGTTTTTTTTTTTTGGTTCCATATACCCAGATCACATTTTTAATCAGTATGTATTTGTTTTATTGGTTTGATATTGTGTATTGTGTACTGTTTCTGGTCACTGGATAATCTATAATTATAAGTATAATTATACTTTGTGTTTCACTGCCACACATACAGTCCAATAATTCCCGCTGGCCCCAGGCGTATAATTAAGATTCTATTCTATTCATTTATATTCTCTTCTACTGGGAATGCATCGACAGTGATGTTTAACTTTTGCATTTTACATTTCGTAATCTAGACGGGTCTTGTTGAAATTAGTCAGTGACCTTTACATTCCAACACCTTCTATCAGCTGACGTGGACTTACTGAACTTAATTCCAAACCCCGCCCGGTTCTTCTGACGAATTTACTTGTTTATCTGCGTGCTTTGGTTGGTTCTCATAAGAATGGCATGTGAAGCTGTCATCAGCACCCTGTTGTTGTGCTCTTTGTAATTGTATGGCATGATTCCTGTTAAACGAATGGTGACATAATTGCATTCAATCTCTTTTTTATTGTTAATATGCTGTACACATCGACAGTCAGTTTGTCATTCATGGGCTACAATAAATTACATCACAAGTCTGATAATGCCGTCTGACAATACAAATAAATAGGTTATCTGTGCGTGCACGTTGGTCCTTTGAAAGTGTCTTAAAAACAAATACGCTTCAAAATACAGGTCCAGAAGGTCACTGAAGACAACAGGCCTGCATTAAGTAGCACAGGGCAGTAAACACATTCATTTTGTAATGTGTTTGTCCCTTATCAGAGGGACACTGATAACCACAAAGGACTCAGTTTTGATTTCTCATAAACTGATTTCATAGATCCTGCCCAAAGCTATGAAGCTTTATAAGTTCAGGTTTTCGGAAACTGCTTTGGAATCAATGCTAAGCTTTCTTAGACCTCTTATTCTCATTGGCAAGCAGAATAATAACACTCAAAGCAACTTTTTTTTTTTTTGTTGCTGGAACCCAAAGTCCCCTGAGAAGCACTACTGAGCACAGAGCGCCAGGGGATCTTGTTAGGGGTCAGTTTGTGGATCGTGTTGATGCCTTGGGGTGTAAGCATGTTGTGGTGTCCCGGTTGGCTAGCTGAGAGCAGCTTTCTATCATCCCGATAGCTCTCAGAATAAAGCCATGCTTTGTCAGTGCTGAGGCTTATACTGCATGTACTGGAAGAAAAAACAAACAAACAATAAAGCTTTGTTAAATGTCCTTTTAAATCATATCAAAAAAGATTTTTCAGGGTTTTTTCCCAGAGCTCTTCTATTAGAATAATTTGGCTGTATAGGGTTTGTGAGTTCTTAACATGGTTTCTATGAGAACTAAGTTTTTAGTGTTCTATTTTAGGTTTTTCAAGTCAGTGTTATGGTTTCTGCATCTTTAAAACACCATGTTAAAACAGCAAACACATTTTTTATATAACCACATACATATAAATGTATACATACATAACTATATATAATATATAAATAACATTATATATTATAGTGATTCATTTAGGGCTACCGGTCAGAAGTTTGGGATCAGTAAGACTTGTAATGTTTTTTAAAGAAGTCTCTTATGCTCATCAAGGCTGCATTTATTTGATCAAAAATACAGAAAAAAACAGTAATCTTGCAAAATGTTATTTCAATATAAAATAATGGTTTCTACTTTAATATCCTTTAGAATATAATTTATTTCTGTGATGCAAAGCTGAATTTCCATCAGCCATTACTCCAGTATAAAGTGTCACATGATCCTTAAGAAATCATTCTGATATGCTGATTTATTATTAAAATTCTCAATGTTGGCAACAGTTGTGCTGCCAAATATTTTTTGGGAAACTGCGATACTTTTTTTCAGGATTCTTTGATGAATAAAAGGTTAAAAAGAACAGCATTCATTCAAAATATAAATCTTTTCTAACAATATAAATCTTTGCTATCACTTCTGATCAATTTAACACATCTTTGCTGAATAAAAGTTTTAATTTCTTTCACAAAAAGAACGAATACAAATTTACTGACCCTAAACTTTTGAACTGTAGTGTATATTGTTAGAAAAGATTTCTATTTTAAATAAATTCTCTTCTTTTTTTACTTTTTATTCATCAATTTACACCATAATAATATTTCACAATATTACATTTTTTCCTGTATATCTGATCACAGCATAACAGCATAAGAAACTCCTGTAAAAAACATAAAAAATCATTCTGATCCCAAACTTTTGACCGGTAGTGTGTGTGTGTGTGTATATATATAGGCCTATGCGTTTTGTTTGTATTTAAAAATATGTTTATATATTTATAAATTAGATGTTTTTTTTTTCAATCAAAGAATATATATATATATAAAATTACAGGCCTCTCTCATCTTTTTAAGTGGGAGAACTTGCACAATTGGTGGCTGACTAAATACTTTTTTGCCCCACTGTATATATATATATATATATATATATATGTGTGTGTGTGTTATATGTATGTATATATATATATATGTGTTATATTTATGATATATTGTTATAATGAAAATATATGCTTTCTGTATTTTAATAATGGATCGAATACAACCTTCCACAAAGAGATTGCTTCTAAATGTATTTCTTGCAATTGAATAGTTACCTTAATAGTTAAAAGTTACCTTAATAATATATAGAATACCTTAATAGTCTCCTGTACATGAAGAATAATTCGTATTGATTCATTGTGTATGGGTGCAGTAAATAATTACAGCCTTCGGAAACAGTTTCAGGAAGACAAACATTTAGTTTCAATGATTATCCAGGGTACTGTTCAAATAAAATCAACAGCTCTTCCTGATGCTTGTAATTGAACACATATTAACACAGACGAATCCCGCGAGCCCTGCTCGGACTACGAAGGCTTGCCTCATGAATGTTAATTATATGCCGTGACGCTCGGCTTTCTGATTGGCTGAAAAGAACACTCGAGTGCGCAGTTCGCGAAGGAACGAATCCTACTAGGGCGAAGGCTGTGGGCTCATGAATATTAATTACGTTGCGTGACTGGATGCTCCGGTAAGGTTACCAAGCAACGCCCGTGCCAGCTATTTACAAATTCATGAGCTAAGCGTTCTCCATAGTAGGATTCGTAATTTTCGTCAGCGATGCCGTCCTAGCGACTTCCTCCTGTCATATAGAAGCGCAGGATCGAGCGCGTGTCAAATGGAACAATGTAACGGATCGGAGTTGACAGCCTCAGTCGAGAGGTTACTGATTAATCACGGTCCGGCTCCATAACCATAGATAAGGGCACGAGATCCGCCTGAATGACAGGAGAATGCCAGCAGGTCCGCACTGAGCATTTTAGTGTCTTCTTTACAAGGTAGGCGCACGAGGTGACTAATTTACCTGGGTCTTTTAATACCATATTGTTAACTATCATTCATTTATTTTGCTCCATTGGAAATATACACGAGTACTGCATTAGCTCTGTTTCAATGACATAAATGACACGCGAGTTAGCCTAATTAATGTGTATCCACGGTTATAATTTTAAACCCTTAAATTCAAATTTTAAGGATTCCATTCAGAACCTAAAACACTTGCACCGCAAGAGAATCTGACAGTTCCACAAAGAACTTCTCTGGTTTCTCTTCAGAAAACCGTATGGCAACCTGAGACCACTGATCCTATAATGTACATTTGTTTTTAAAGAACTTTTTTAATCTTGAACGAAACCATGTAACTACTTAAGTACCTCATGCATCCAAAATGTTTTTCTGGAGGTTCTTGATGAACCCAAAGTGCTCGACAGAACCACTGAAGAACCTTGATTTTTAAAGTGAACGTACTTTTACACAAGTTTGTACTGTTTTGCCCTGAAAAAAAAGGATTTTTGCCACTTTGTTCCAATTGGCATGAAGTTTTAAATAAGTCTTAAATGAACGGAATAAACGTTCGTTACTGAGGGATGTGCGAGCGTGTTAATTTACGTCGTCCCATGCTGCGCTGGATTTGATCGGACTACTAAACAGGGATTTTGTTTCAGTGTGGAGGTAATGAGCAAATTGTTGTTGGCTCGTATGCTCTCTTTCTTCTGCCGTGCCGAAAAGACGTGTGTGGGTGTTCGTTTCTCTGAAGAATCGCCCGGAAAGTTTTGTCATGATTAAATATCACGTATTAGTCGGTTTTTGAGACTTTTACGTCCGGCGGAATATGAATGCCTTCATACGTGCCGTTATACGTGTTTTTTCATGTTAACTCTATAACGAAGCCGGTTTTTAATGTTTGCAAAAGTTGTTGTCTGTATCTATCTATCTATCTAGTTATATCTATCTATCTATATATCTATCTTTATATCTATCTATCTATCTAGTTAGCCTATATATATCTGTCTATTTATCTATCTATCTATCTAGTTATATCTATCTATCTATCTATCTATCTATAAAGTTCTATCTATCTATCTATCTATCTAGTTATATCTATCTATATATCTATCTTTATATCTATCTATCTATCTATCTATCTAGTTATATCTATCTATCTATCTAGTTATATCTATCTATCTATCTATCTATATATCTATCTTTATATCTATCTATCTATCTATCTAGTTCTATCTATCTATCTATCTAGTTATATCTATCTATCTATATATCTATCTTTATATCTATCTATCTATCTATCTAGTTAGCCTATATATCTATCTATCTATCTATCTAGTTATATCTATCTATCTATCTATAAAGTTATATCTATCTATCTATCTATATCTAGTTATATCTATCTATGTATATATCTATCTATCTAGTTATATCTATCTATCTATCTATCTATCTATCTAGTTATATCTATCTATCTATCTATATCTAGTTATATCTATCTATGTATATATCTATCTATCTAGTTATATCTATCTATCTATCTATATCTAGTTATATCTATCTATGTATATATCTATCTATCTAGTTATATCTATCTATCTATCTATAAAGTTATATCTATCTATCTATCTATATCTAGTTATATCTATCTATGTATATATCTATCTATCTAGTTATATCTATCTATCTATCTATCTATCTTTATATCTATCTTTATATCTATCTATCTATCTATCTATCTATCTATCTATCTATCTATCTATCTATCTATCTATCTAGTTATATCTGTCTTTCTATCTATCGCTGTATCTATACTGTTGTTTTCATTATGTTATAATGTTGAAATTTCATAATTTGTTTCCATCCACTGAACTTATAGTCTATGAACTCATTGTAATTTCTAGTCATGTTTAGGAGTTTTCCGAATTTTAGCTCGATTTTCCTATTAAGTCATTACATAAAATGAGCTTATCACTCTGCACATTTCATTTAAATTAAGGCAGTAATTAAACCTAAGTTTTCAATTTAGTAGGTTGACATGGATACATTATATCAATCAATGACTTCTGAATGAAGCTGAAGAGAGTAGACTTTTTTGTGAGCTAAAATAATTTAAGAACTTATAATATATGTCGTTCCCTTTGGCAGGTGACAAGTCGACCTTATCAGACTCAGGCATTTCAGTGAGTTGTAACATTACCCTTGCACCAGAGACCTTTAAATACATTTCAAAAACCAATTTACCACGTGGTGTAAAGTGAGACATCTCCAGCCCTCCAACTGCCCAGAGCTGGTTAGAAAGTTTTAGCCAAATGCCTCCCAGAGACTCCAGCAGTGGATGTTCATTAGGACCCTCAAACCTATTTTTCTCATTCTTTTTGTGACATTTTGTGCTTGTGAGACATCAGCTTAGTCAATTTTATGAAGAATATTTCACTTGGATTTTTTTTTGCACACAGACTAACATGTGGCTTTCCGTTGTTATGTCTTAAAGGAAAATTTGCTTTGAATGGGGAACGTAATTTGCATGCTACCCAAGTTCAGGCAGGATCTTACACAAGCCTGGAGACGGGGAACGCACCTGCCTCTCTTCCTCGACCTGTAGACTCATTCATCAGCACCAACCGTCTTTAATGGGATAAATTATCTCCAGAGATCAGGTGAACAGCTGATCTAAACTCAAGTAAGACCCTCCAGCTTCTTAATTTCTTCTTAATTGACATTTTACATCCTAAGGCCTCCGCATGGTACTCTGGTCGAAAGATCAAGACAAACTGTCCGACATGTCCACCGGGACGGAAAGGATAGAGATGAAGAAGGAGGGGGCTCCACCAGCGTTCCACCACTCCAATGGGTCGGTCCATCCGGTTATACTACCCGACATCCCCGAGGAGGTGCCCCAGACCCCCGGGGAGTACGAACTCACAGAAGTGACCTCCATACCGGACCGCAGTGATCAGGAGAACGAACGGCCAGACATGGTGGTCCTTGACTGTCGGGCCAACGCAAAGGGCCAGAGGGAAGAGGACGCGCTCCTGGAGAACGCCAGCCAAAGCAACGAGAGTGATGACACTAGTACGGACCAAAGCCCGGTGCCGCCGGCTCCACTAAAGGAAACGTCCTTTTCTATTGGACTCCAGGTTTTGTTCCCTTTCCTGCTGGCAGGGTTTGGGACAGTTGCAGCTGGCATGGTTCTGGACATTGTTCAGGTAAGTAAAACCCAATTGCTTTGGATTATAGAGTTAAATCAATAAATAAAAGATAAAAAAACATAATATTGGAATATATGTGAATATTTCATATTACAAGTTCTGGAACACAGTTAATTTTTATCTAAAGAGACTTCAGTACACACAAAAATAAAGGTTACAAAAGGGGTTTTTCACAGCATATGTCATAGAAAAACCATTTTGGGTTCCAACATTTCAGTAAACAGTTCAGTAAAAGAACCATTTTTTAAGTGTGAAGAGCATTTTAATAATTCAAAGAAGCTTTTTCCACTATTAAGAACCTTTTGTGTAATGAAAAGGTTCCATGGATGTTAAAGGTTCTTCATAGATGCCAATAAAGAACCTTTACTTTATGAGTGTATTTTTCATCTAATTTTTAAAGAAGCACTCTTTTAAAGGATAACCCATATACATGTCAAAATGCTGTGGTAAAACTCATTGTGACTGAGGATTTGCATGCTTGTGTTGCTATTGACAGAAAGCCATCAGTCAGGGGTTTTTCAAATGCTACCTGGTACTAAGAGCAGCAGAGCATGCCTGACGCTGTTCAGATGCTAGATGTTCAGATAGCAGGTTCTTTCCAAATAAGTAGCGACAAATTGCCACTGAAATTAGATAGATGCATAGATAGAGAGAGAGAGAGAGATTCCAGTGTACTCAATCCTGCATGTGTGTGTATGTTTTACGGTAGGCCTTCCTACTTTACGGTAGGAGCACATCCCAGCCGACAGGTAGTATATATTTTTTTAGAGACTGTCTAAAAAAGATAAAGGTATCAGGCACCAATGTCATAGAAGGTTCCCCAAATAGCTTTCAGAGAATAGCTTGTAAAAAGGTTCCCCAAATAGCTTTCAGAGAATAGCTTGTAAAATAACCATTTTTATTAGTGTGAAGAAGATTTGAATCATCTAAAGAACCGTTATCTTTAAGAGTGTAGGTGGGTAATCTGTGCTACCTTCTGAAAATGTATTATTCTACTGTACAGATGGACGTACCGCATGACTTCCCGTTATACCCTGGTAGACGGGTAACCGAAAATGGTTAACCGCTTAGAGTTTTGCAAAAACATTGGCGGTCCAGAGTCTCTGGCGTTTTGGTTCGTGTAATACTTACTTTTAAAATCTTTGTTTATTACTTATGGTTGTTTTTTGAGGAAAGGGTGTAGACCTGTGGATTGGCATAGGGACATTTTATAACCTATTGTGAAAGAGAATTCACTAGTTGTTATTCACGTACAGCATTGTAAAGCCATGAGGTTTTACTTATGTTAAAGGTTCTTCATAGATGCCAATAAAGAACCTTTACTTTATGAGTGTATTTTTCATCTAATTTTTAAAGAAGCACTCTTTTAAAGGATAACCCATATACATGTCAAAATGCTGTGGTAAAACTCATTGTGACTGAGGATTTGCATGCTTGTGTTGCTATTGACAGAAAGCCATCAGTCAGGGGTTTTTCAAATGCTACCTGGTACTAAGAGCAGCAGAGCATGCCTGACGCTGTTCAGATGCTAGATGTTCAGATAGCAGGTTCTTTCCAAATAAGTAGCGACAAATTGCCACTGAAATTAGATAGATGCATAGATAGAGAGAGAGAGAGAGATTCCAGTGTACTCAATCCTGCATGTGTGTGTATGTTTTACGGTAGGCCTTCCTACTTTACGGTAGGAGCACATCCCAGCCGACAGGTAGTATATATTTTTTTAGAGACTGTCTAAAAAAGATAAAGGTATCAGGCACCAATGTCATAGAAGGTTCCCCAAATAGCTTTCAGAGAATAGCTTGTAAAATAACCATTTTTATTAGTGTGAAGAAGATTTGAATCATCTAAAGAACCGTTATCTTTAAGAGTGTAGGTGGGTAATCTGTGCTACCTTCTGAAAATGTATTATTCTACTGTACAGATGGACGTACCGCATGACTTCCCGTTATACCCTGGTAGACGGGTAACCGAAAATGGTTAACCGCTTAGAGTTTTGCAAAAACATTGGCGGTCCAGAGTCTCTGGCGTTTTGGTTCGTGTAATACTTACTTTTAAAATCTGAAGACCGATTGTTTATTACTTATGGTTGTTTTTTGAGGAAAGGGTGTAGACCTGTGGATTGGCATAGGGACATTTTATAACCTATTGTGAAAGAGAATTCACTAGTTGTTATTCACGTACAGCATTGTAAAGCCATGAGGTTTTACTTCACTACATAATACGGTCCAGAGCTCCACACACCCTTTGTAGTCTTAACCAGCATGGAAACTTGTTTTTCAGCCGACTTGGTGATTTTGCCTTTTACCCAGCTGATGTGGAATGTATTGTGCTAGAAAACCTCTAGTCAGACCTGTTTGTGCTAAACTCTGAATGTATGTTAAACTGTTTTTACCACAAGGACAACAGACTAAACATTAAGGCCTGACAGGAAGCCAGTTAGGGTTTACCACATCCACTGTCATCTCATTTTGACAGGAATCGATGCAGACAGACAAGCATAACCTGTCCTAACCTTCCATGAGCTGAGATCTTATAGTGCATTTCTGTGTAGTTCCATCTAATGTTTGACCATATCATTGGCTTCTATTACTCACAAGTGCAGTTGACTGATTTCAAGTTTTGTGCCAGATGTCCTGTAGAGTAACCTGGGCAGGAACAGGTGCTGAAATTGTGCTTTTGTCTCCTAGTGTCTCAAACTAATGACTCGTTCTGTTTGCCGAACAGACTTAAATCATCTAATTTCCTTGATGAATGATTATTTAGTTGCACTGAAATGATTATTTAGCTGCACTGCTAAGGCTAATGTCAATATTAATTAGGATTTAGGGCAGGAATGCCCCGTCCTGTTCCTGGAGATCTACCATCCTGTAGAGTTCAGTTCCAACTGGGCACACCTAGTTTAGGGTTTGTTCATCTTTCTGTGTTGTTCATCCCACATTATTCATTTATAGGTATTTATTCATATTAATATTTTGAATTAGCTTTTATTTTTATATTTTAAGTTATTTATTTTCTTAGTTTATGTTTTGCTAACTTTATGTATTTGTTATGTGCTTTTGTCATTTTTATTAGTTTTTTGTATTTCTATTTAGCTTTAATTTTATTTCAGTTTAAATCATTTTAGTACTTAGAACTAGTACTTAGTTCTCAAGGTAGCATTTCTAATGTTTAATCTTTTCAGTGTTTTTCATCAAATAATTATATTTTTATTTATTTCAGCTTTATTTCAATTAATGGTGTTTAATAGATTTTGTTAACAGTAACGGCACCGTTTGTGCTACAGGCATACTGTAAATGGTGCCTCAAGATTATGTGGCTTGTTGTTTTTACTTTTTAAATGAGAAGAATTACAATATATGTCCCATAGACTTAAATTGAAGAACCTTAACCATATCTAGATCTATGTTGTAGCTTTTTTGTTTTCAGCCAGTAAGCAACCACCCGCAATACCCTAGCAACCAATAAGAATTCATTAGCAACCACATAGAAATAAAATTGGTTGAGTGATGGGTAAGCACTAATCTCATTTTCAGACAGTTTCCAGATTATTAAAGGAATGGTTTACACAAAAGTGAAAATCATCATTAATATTTAATCTCTCTCATGTTTCTTTCTTCTGCAGAACACGAAGGAAGGTATTTAAAAAATCTCAGTAAAAGTAAATGAACCATAATGTTCTTCAAAATATATTCTTTTGCATTCCACAGAGGAAAAGGAAGTCATATACAGTCTTAAAAATAAAGGTTCTTTATTGACATTGATGGTTCCATGAAGAACCGTAACATCCATGGAACCACTAAATGTTCTTTATAGTGGAAAAGGGTTCTTTAAAATGTTTTAAATGTACTTCACACTAAGAAACAATGGTTCTTTCAAGAAGTGTCCGCTGAAAGGCTCTTTGGGAAACCAAAAATTGTTATTTTATGGCATCACTACAAAATCTCTCTTTTGGAACCTAATTTTAAAGAGTGTCGTTTTGTAACAACATGAGGGTGAATAAATGTTTTTTTTGATGAACTATCCCTTGACGCCACTGCCCTATTGTGATACGTTTATCTAGAAACTCTTAGCATCCACATAGACCACTGCAGGTTCACTGGTGTTAAGCACAACCCAGGTTGGTAGAGCGTCCTCAGAATTCCTCTGTGACCTTATACGCTGAGCCTTGGAGACCAAGGTGCTGGAACCGAGGAGCGTTGCCAGCCAACATTACACAATCCTGCAATCCGCTCCCCCCCCTCCGGTTGCATGCCTGCACTTCTGTGCGTCAAGTTTGCAGAACCCTTAGAGGCACATGGAGGCATTGGCCAGGACTGTGCTGTTCCCTGAAGACAACATCGTACTGGGGGAGGGAGATGAACAGAGTAGAGGAGGTTCAGTCAAAGGGAACCGAAGACAAAGTGGCTGGGCGCCAGCTCCCAATTGATGTTCGTCCTTTTTTAAAAGTGGCCCCTGCACTGCCAAAGACTCAAGGAAAAAGAAACGGCCATTGAAATCCGCCCACTGGAAGCTGCACCGCTCGAACTCCTTAACTAGTGCTTTTTGCTGCTATTTGTAGAAGATTTTGTGTTTTTGTGTTATGTTTACCATTCGCTTTTTCTTCAGCGTTATGTTAGCGGTGCCCGCCGTGCTTTCTCGCTCTCTCCATGTGCTGACAAGATGCTAGAATTGATTTAGCTAGTCAGTGTCAGGCCTGTAATTGCTGTGCACCAGTGGGAATGAGTCTAAAGATAAGCACTCCTTCTATGTATTGATCTATACTGCCTGTATTGCATCTAAGGCACTGCAGCCTAATGGAAAAAAACAGCCTGCCAGTTACCAGAGTCATCAACTTCAGACATCTAAAGTCGGATGCTTGGAAAAGGTTCAAACGGACGAGGGCGTCAATAGATCTAAAATTGGCCTGAATTTAACATTGGCAGATGATAAGCTCAATGTTATCAGAGATTTTCTTCCTTCATAGCTCTGGAGATATAATTGAGTTTTATATATCAACTTTGTCTCAAAAATTCTCTTAAAATTCCTTAGAATAGAAATGACACAAACAAGTCAATTGTTGACTCGGTAAGACTGCAGAGCTATAAAATGAAAATGAATTCATAATAGGTGTGGAAGATATGGCCAAAATATCACAATTGTTTTCAGACAGAATCACAATCCACAATCTTATCACAATTCTTTTTCATGTTCATTTTCAAAGGGATAGTTCACCCAAAAATGAAAATTCTCTTATTAATTACTCACCCTCATGTCGTTCCAAACCTGTAAGACCTTTGTTCATCTTCGGAACACAAATTAAGATATTTTTGATGAAATCCAAGAGCTTTCTGACCCTGCATTGACAGCAAGGTAATTTCCACATGCAAGGTCCAGAAAGGTAGTAATATGGACATTGTTAAAATAGTCTAGAGATCAGTGGTTCAACCTTAATTTTATGAAGCTACTAGAATACTTTTTGTACGCAAAGAAAAAAAAACGACTTTATTCAACATGGTTTTCTCAGTTTTTTAAGTTTTAGTAACTTGTAAATCCATTTCACCATTGAGTAGACTAGGTTCAATCAGTTTTCCATAAGATAAGATTTTTAAATTACCAAACAGTTCTCACTAAAAAAAAAAATTTTTTTCGTAGCTTTAGTTCCAGTGTGGCTTACAGATGATCTCTAGATTGTTGTCTGGCTTTAATGTTTAGTGAGGGTTTGTATTAAAAAGTGTCTCTTTCTCAATAGCACTGGACGGTATTCACAGAGGTGACTGAAGTCTTTATCCTGGTGCCTGCTCTCCTGGGCCTGAAAGGGAACTTGGAGATGACCCTCGCGTCCAGGCTGTCTACTGCAGTAAGTACTTTAGTATAATATCGAACACATGAGCTTTCCAATGGGCATGATTGAAGATACAGATAAATGTTGATAAAATGGGACCTTTAAATAAAATCAAGGAATACTGAACAAAGAACTATGTACGCCAGCATGTTTATTCACGCCATATCATTGAGACGTTAAAATCAGACTGAATCATCATCTGAATTTCATGGCGCAATTTTGATTGCATAGTTTTCTTTCTTTTGTCTGGATGGTGACGAATGTTTGCTTTGTGCAGCTTTCAGAGGTGTGTTTGAGTTTTATGTAACTCCCGCTGGAAATATGAGGAATCATTCCTGCTGTCAAAACTAATGCACTAATATTCTAATTTGAAGGAAAATATTGGTATACCAGGGGTTAGAATATATTGATGAGCTGTCACTGTGGTGTGTATGAGAGGTGTGCTACAATTTTAAACAGACAGATGATAAAATTGTCTAAAAAAAGGACCATAGCATTATGGCGATGAGTTTTGTACAGGCAATCACCACTTACATTATACACTTAGACTGCCGTTCAAGAGTTTAGGGTCAGTAAGATCTTTTTGTTTTTAAAACTTTTATTCAGCAAGGATGCATTAAATTGAATTCAATTAAAGTGACATTTATAATGTTACAAGAGTTTTCTATTTCAAATAAATGCTGTACTTTCTATTCATCAAAAAATCCTGACAAAAAAAACATGAAAAATATGAAGCAGCGCAACTGTTTTCAACACTGTTAATAATAATAAATGTTTCTTGAGAATCAGTTTATTAGAATGATTTCTGAAGGATCATGTGACACTGAAGACTGGAGTAATGATGCTGAAAATTCAGCTTTGCATCACAGGAATAAATAAAAATTTAAAATATATTACAATAGAAAACCGTTTTTTTAAATTGAAATACTGTTTCACAAAAATTACTGTTTTACTGCATTTTTGATCAAATAAATGCAGCCTTGGTGAGCAGAAGAGACTTTAAAAAAACATTAAAATCTTACCAAACCTAAAAATTTGAACTATACATTTTCTTCAAAATATGTCAAAATAATGTTTGTTTTTAACTGTATGTCTGTACACACCAACGTTAGAGGTTAATAGTAGTTGTCTGCTATTAAACATTTTCACAAAGCTTCATTGTCCTTCGCTGAAGTATGTTAAAAGTAGGGTAAAAACTTGGGCCATCTGCCCATTCTCTGAAACCTTAATGGGACATCATGTAGGACACTATGGTCAAATTAGCATCATTTTAATCCTGTTAAGCACAGGACCGTACACTCGATGGAGTGTCTCAGCTAGACTTGGATGTGCCAGGTTTGTGGCAAAGCCAGACATTCTTTTGGGCTGTGGCTCTCTGAGCTCCCACCACAAGATTACATGTTTAATCACAACACATCCTTCAGCAGCCCACGTTAGCTGGTTGAATCTGGGAGCAATGCTGTCAGATGACATGGTTTTTCATTAAATTTGAGTGCAATGATTTAAAGGGGTCATATGATGCTTTTTTTTAAAAAGATCATTATTTGGTGTAACAGAATATGTTGACATGCTTTAATGTTCAAAAAACACATTATTTTTCAAATACTGTACATTATTGTAGGTCCTATATGCCCCGCCTCTCTCAAACGCTTC